CGAGTGAAATATTCTATAAGAAGTGGCCACAAACCAAAAATCAAAGCAGTTCGATATGTGATTAACAACTCATTACCTAGATGCCGCTTCTACAGGTGGCAGGGTGAGTCATCGCTAATTACTGGCAGTGCACACCACTGCAGCTAGTCCACAGCCCACTGCAGCAGCAAGTACCACCGAACATCATATCCTCATTTGACAAGGCTGCAAGAGGCGCCAACCGCAGCAGCATGTACCACCGAACATCATATCCTCATCTGACATGGCTGCAAGAGGCGCCCACCGCAGCAGCATGTACCACCAAACATCCTATCTTCATCTGACATGGCTGCAAGAGGCGCCCACCGCAGCAGCACGTACTACCGAACAACCTGTCCTCATCTGACAAGGCTGCAAGAGGCGCCCACTGCAGCAGCATGTACCACCGAACATCAAATCTTCATCTGACAAGGCTGCAAGAGGCCAGACGAATCCCGGCAATGCACCCGCCCGCGCCGCCCTCCAATCCCTGCCTTCCCCTTGTCGGCCGATCTGGGTCACGGCGCAGCAGGGCGTGACGCGAGTCGTGACGGTGCTCAGCGAGATGCGGGCGTGCACGGGGTCACAGCAGCGGCCGCGGCGGCCCGCGCCCACACCAGGGTTTGATGGTCGCTTGCTAGGGGAGGGAGATGGCGGGCGCCAGGTGACGGCGCCAGGTGACGGCGACACGCGTTTGATGGGGGCTGCACCGCAAGGGGTCCGACCTCCAGGTGACGGCGCCAGGTCACGGCGGCACGGGTTTGATAGGGGCCGCACCGCAAGGGGTCCGACCTCCAGGTGACGGCGCCAGGTGACGACGACACGCGTTTGATGGGGGCCGCACCGCAAGGGGTCCGACCTCCAGGTGACGGCGCCAGGTGACGACGCCTGGTGACAGCGACACGAGTTTGATGGGAGCCGCACCGTAAGGGGTTACTCGTGCCTGTCGCCGTTAGCCTCCATAACGTGCCTTCTGGTGGCTTGGAGCCTGCTACGAGAAAGGGTGGAGAGAGAGGGGAGAGAGAGGGAGAGGGAGAGAGAGGAAGAAGGAGAGGGAGAGAGATCACTGTATTATATGCTGTGTGTTAAGTCCACATTAGTCTATCTTTTTATTCAACAACCTATGCCCGTTTGAAGCGAGCCCTAGATCACAGTGCACATAACACTACGCATAACCGTACCTATATTTTGCTCTCAGACAAGACAAGCCGAGGCCAGTTTCATTTACCCCGTGCATATTTAAGGAGAACTGCAGACACATCCGTAAAAAATAGCTGATTGGTTCTTCTCACAAAGTACGCTCAGCCGCGTCATGCATTGTCGTTACTGGAGAGTACATCCGATATGTCCTGACTTCGCGGCAGCAATTCATTACGTACGACGCATCTCGTCCTCACAGATTCGATACAAAACACACACGACAGAAACACACAATGCGCACAGCACAAATCTATCAAACACGTGTCTCCGACACTATTCTTGAAAGTAATGCTGTCAACTGTTCATTTCTGGCATGTTTCGGCCATAATGAAGAACTCCAAACTCGCGGTATTTCAGTGAGCCGATACCATTCAGAGAGCTGGGGAGTGCTCGGAGCCGGTACTGGGAGCGGACGGCAGCACCAGAGAGCTGGGGAGTGCTGGGAGCCGGTACTGGAAGCGGACGGCAGCACCAGAGAGCTGGGGAGTGCTGGGAGCCGGTACTGGAAGCGGACGGCAGCACCAGAGAGCTGGGGAGTACTGGGAGCCGGTACTGGAAGCGGACGGCAGCGCCAGGGAGCTGGGAAGTGCTGGGAGCCGGTACTGGAAGCGGACGGCAGCGCCAGGGAACTGGGGAGTGCTCGGAGCCGGTACTGGGAGCGGACGGCAGGGGCTGGCTGACCCAGTATCCGCTCTCAGATGGCGGCCACCCAGCTCCCACGCGCTGGTCCCCTACGTACCCGTGTCGTACTGAACGAGTGTGGCGTGACGGCCACACCTCCCACACCCGGAAAGGAGCGAGCCTTGGCTGCCGCCGACAGCACGGTGAGGCCTGACAAGACTGCATTAGCCGAGGTCTCGGGCCCATCAGCTTCCAGGCCCGGCCTCACACTGGAGCAGTAGTACTGGCAGCATGGCAGAGCGCGGCCGATCTAAGGCTGGTCTGTGCCACCTGGTCTGATGCTGGGCGCTGGGCCCTGCGCTGTCCCTGGTGACTGACAATTGGCAGGTTCCTCAAGGCCATGTGATAATAAGGAGCCGTGGTTATAACTCAGGAAACCCGGTATTGATATACGATATGTATCCGGCAAATGTGAACTGCTGACTAAGCTAGTATGCGTGTGAGAAAACCTAGTTAGCCATCTTGAAACTTTTGTGCGAATTGCACGGAAAAACTGCGCATCTATGAAAAGTATGCGTCAAGAATACGGAGGTGATGCACTAGCTTTTCACACATGTTACTCAAAAAATGATTTTTCATTTAGTTCAGTCTTGGAAATCATTTAAATATAGTTGGCGGTGGCAGGTGACAGTGCTTTCTGATTGGTCCCTCTCTTCCCGAGCACACCGACGGTGGCATGGGTGCCCGGTTTACCAGATATGCTCAGTTCGTAGAGCCCTTCAAGTCCTCTCGGCCATAGCTGCAACAGGAGAAGGACGGCGATAACTGCATCCGTTTCTAATCAGACTGCACGATCTATAGTGAGCACGACTACCCGATGTGAGGCCGGCTCTGAGCCGAATTGAGCATGCGGTGCACAGCGTTAGGTGCCTTTGAAAGTTCACATGTCAATCAAACGTTCCTGCAGCACAGAAATAAGCGGCCGGCAGCAGCCAATTATCCGGTTGATGAAGAAAGAATCGCATGTGAGGGCAGCAGTTATCCATGATTCAAATGGGCAATTGTCCGGTTATCCTGCTAAATCGTGGCAAGTTTATCCGTTTTGCACTTACTTCTACCCACCATGTGCCTCGCCCATCGGATAAGTACGCGAGATGCTGGCACCGTGACAGCGCTGGTCTTAGCTGTCTTGTTTGAACACCGCCTCGCTTGAACTTACCGAAATCCGTTCCCGCTCCACACCTGCCCTGGGCTTTTGGGTTTGGTGGATAGGTTGTGAAATAGGGAGTGAGACCAGAGCTTGTAAAAATGACTCCTCGGGCGCCTGATACACAAAAAATCGTCCTAGGCGCACTGACGTCAGAAAAGTTTCGGAACCGAGTCAGTATCACTGTCTGCGTCGGTTTTGTAATGAGGCTTAATATATGTCGTGCACAACATATAACAGGTACCGTCAGTGTGAGGCTCCAAAGTCCTGATGTTCGTTACCAGACTGTGTTGACCGTCTGTGGTGGCGCTCCGGCCCCTGGTGCGTCAGTGCCGCTGCATTAGCACTACCCAATGGCGTCTTTCGTCAACACATTGGCGCGGTGCGCCAGACGCGTATTCTGCGAAAGCCTCGCATGAACTGTTCCGAGGTCGCGGAAACATGTCACAACTGTAGAAGCGTTCATCTACGAAGGCAGAGTGCAGAGCTGGTGTCGGCACCTCGCGGTCACGCGTATCTGCGTCGCTCGTAACCGCTCTCTGACCTCGGCTGATTTCATCGCCTATCGATTTATCATTAGCATTTATGGGCCATCATCATAATAGACTACGAGGGTATGAAAAATTGGAGATAGCTCTCGGTCAGCCAGTTCTCCGAAGTGCGCTTGCCTAGAAGACCGAGGAGTCGATGCTGCCGTCTGTTTGCGCCGAGTACAGCAGCGCACACGTCCGCGATGGAATCGACCAGGAACGTTCAGGGTTTGGTGGATAGGCGCCCGAGGAGTGTATCAGGCGCCCGAGGAGTCATTTTTACAAGCTCTGGTCTCACTCCCTATTTCATATCTCCCAGCCGTGACACGTGGACAAGGCAGTCCGCCCACTCTAGCCGTCAGCGCCAGGGGGCGTGTGCTTTACTTCTGCTGAGGCCGTCGGGGCGATTACCGTCCAGAGCTGCGGCACGGGCGCGGCTGGCGCGGGACGACCCGCTGCCAACCTGCCGGTCCGTCCGTCAGCCGAGGCCGACCGACCGGCGCGCCATCTGGCACGCCGCTGCCTTATCGGGATCGGCAGCGGCGCGCCCTCCAGCCGCGGGTCAGCACCGGAGCGGGCGGCGGACGTGGCGCGCCGTCACCAGACCGGCGCTGCCGGGCCCGCCGGCGCACTGTGAAGGACGTCCGACCCGGCGATAGGTGACCGGTCTGGAGAGGAATCAGCCCGGCTGCGACAACGGTCACACCGGAGGTGCAGACAACGGACAGCACATGTGAACATGTTGTGAACATGAACGGCCAGCACATGTGAACATGTTGTGAACATGAACGGCCAGCACATGTTGATTGACACGTGAACTTTCAAAGACGCCTATCCCTGCGCACCGCATGCTCAGTTCAACTCGGTGCTAGCCTAACATGGGGTGTTCTTCCTTCTTGCGGACTGTACAGCCCGAGTTTAAACGTATGCAGTTTTGCTGTTGCTCTCCTGTTGCAGGTATGGCCAAGAAGAGATGCTTCGCCGCCGTTCTTCGATTTTCTCGTCGTTTTGCCGTCGCCTAGGGGGTAATGATTTTTGCTTTTTTGGCCGACCAAATTCCAAGCAGGCAAAATCGTCGCATGTAGTGAAACGTGATACCTTGCAGGGGCGCGGGAACGGCTTTTGGCGAGGAGAACACATCACATTTAGGGCTGCCTTTTTTATTGAAATCATCTGCTACAGATTACCAAGCTGTATACCGATGTGACAACATTATGGCTCAACTGACTAAAACATGATATTTGAAAATATTTACGCAAAAGCTTTTGATTCGGTGGATTTCTGGGAAGAGCTCATGTTTTTTTTAAGGAACGCTAGATTGAAGGTCAAATAGTAGAGACAACATGATGCGTGTGTGTGTGTGTGTGTGTGTGTGTGTGTGTGTGTGTGTGTGTGTGCTCTTGTGTGCCGTGAAAACAGAGGACCAAATCCGGTTACACACCCAACAACCCGTCACTGCCGAGGTCCGGTATTCACTACCGAGGTCCAAATGCCGGACCTCGGTTTTCAGAGGCCTTAAATGAGATATTTAGTCTTGTTTGAACATGTTTATTCGATTTTCAGCTGGTCCTCGAAAAACGTAATTACACGCATTTTTACTTCCGGTTGTGTAAAGTGTGTTATCTTGGACGAACTGCGCGCGTGTGTAAGTTTTTCAGGTGGCAAGGTCACGTGGAAGAGAATAGAGATGAATAAGGAAATGCGAAATCGCGCTGCTCCATGATATGGTCTCATCACTTGTAAGTTGTTTGCGTTTGGTATAAGCATTTAAATCACATTGAATCACGTTGAAACTGGTGATGAAAGATATTAATGTAAATTGTGTTAAGTCACATGGGATACATATCTCTATCGCCGCCATTGCGCGTTCTTGAAACGAGCGCGACGGTGACATTGCGGTGTGCGGCCTCTCGGACGAGAAGACTGGGCTTACGTTGGATGCAAGTTATTGTCGTCCGGCAAGGTTTTAAAAAGTGAGTAGTAAATATTCGAAAGGGATTGGTGAACCCTCTTTACCGACAGCTGTAGCTAATGGAGGACTGATCTGCCTTGGTTGATTAGAGAATGGTGTGCTGATAAGGATAGTTGCTGAAGTGGCAAACATTGTGTTGGCTTTTGAAGGTGGTTGAAGAGATTGACTTCAGCAATATTATGCAATTGTCTGGGTAGGTTTATCACGCTAGACCAGACGTTTGTAAGGGGGATGCTTGCAGTTTTTCTCATGCATTTGCAGTGGGTGTTTATTACATTTAAAAAATGTTGCCGTTAGGTACTTACAGACATGTTCCCCAACCCCCTAGAACAACACGTTTTCAGAGGCTTTGGGCATCAATTTAGCCTTGAAGGGGAAATCATTACAAACATAAGGTTTTCCATACATCGGAACCTTAGTGTGTGGTAGATACCAGAGCATAAAAGGGTGTGTGCCACGTTTGTATGGGTTTCAATTGAAATTAGCCATCTTGAAGATCATTCAGTATGTTACACAGTCCTGCCATTCTTAAGCACCCTTCTAATTTTGTAAACCTTTCTAGTTTCTGATCTACACACCTGCAAAGGTGCGAATATTATTTCGTGGTGACTATTTCAAGGTCACCCAGGCACCCACAACGCGTAATGTCTTCAGATGCTGCCATTTCATTGGCCATGGGGCGATTAAGGCAAGCCATCATATGACCGTTGCGTCGTTCATATCCGGCTTTGTGAATACATTTTCAGACGTAACGACCGTCGGTTGGCTCAAATCAATGTTGTGCAAGATTACGTAAGTTGTTCAGTAAATTAGCATTAGCAGAGGAGCATTTTTCACATAGCTAAGACAATATTAATAGCCTTATTCGTCGAAGAAAACCGGGAGAATAAATATATAGTTGAATTGATATTTCGGCAACATGCCTATATCGAAAAAGTAGCAGAAATAAATTCAAAATTGCCTGCTGGTGGCCCTACCCGATTTTTCAGCTTTTTTGGAAATAGAAAGCCAGTTTTTACAGGACACCAACTCTTAGAGGATTAAACAAAAAGTTATTGCTAGCCGTTACCACGATACGGTGCTTATCTAATAATTAGAATAGGCGACAACACGTGTACATGCAAACTAATTCAAGCAAGTAGGCGTCATGCATTACGCTTCATTCAAACATACAAACGAGTTGAGGTTAACAGGTATCACAGTCGCGCATCAATTATACATGCAAGCGATTTCAACTGAACAGACATCGCACATCACGCGTCAGGCGTCACTTCACATGTTAACTATTTAAGCTAGCACACATCGCATATAAAGGCACATATCATGTTCGCAAAATCGGCCAGGATGAGCTTTGTATGTTAAAATTTGGTCGCTGATTTTTTGCAAGAATAGATTAAATTTTTCCCTACCTGGGTGGTCCTCTCCTCTGTAAACGACTTTGGGCTCTAAAAGGGGCATAGGGTCCATACCTCCCTCGATTTCAGCCTGAGCATGTTTTGCCAAAAAATGGTCACCGAAAGGGGTATTCACTGTTTTGTTTGAGTTTATGTCGGGTAGTCCATACGTCCCTCACGTTTAAGATACAATGAACACCTCCGGGGCGCTAAAAACAAAAAAACTTACTTAGTCCTTAGTTAATCTCCACCCACTGAATAATTTTTAGCATTGTTGCTGTTTCAGGTGATGTTATAGCTACTGGACATTGAAGCGATTGAAGACCAGAAAGCCTTAGTGCGACCGGCTTGATTCAGGTCAATTGATGTCAGGAAAGTCAAATTATTTAGGAAATGACTACTCCGAAGAGGGTGTGAATCATTTGTGACATGTAGAATTTGTTGTCATCAGCTCTAACCTAGCATTTCATGCATGCTTTTCTTTCTCTATCTACCCCATCACATTGTCCAACACTGCCAACACCACTGCATCGTCCGACCCCCACAAATATGCCACTACACTGCCTGGCTCCACCATCCCTATCAGTGCCTTAACCAGTAGGATGTCATTACAGTGCATGACACCATGCACCCCACCACAATGTCTGGGTCTACCCATCCCACCATGGTGTCTGACCCCTCCAGCTCCATGCGAGTGTCGGCTCCATGCAGCTGACCCCATTGCCCTGCCAGTTTCACCAGTGTCTGATCCTGCCAACACCACCAATGTCTGCCTCCCCCCCCCCCCTACCATTGTGTGACCATAACAGCTCCTGCATGGTGCGTGACCTCAGTGTAACGCCATTTTGGTATCTCATTCCACCATCCTCATCGCTGGTCTACGCAAGCACGTGTCGACTGTACCAGCCCCACTTTATTCTGCAACCAACGCCACCACCACCTGCACCAACACCACTAACATATCGCGGCCTGCAATTATGTAGGTACACCCGCATCCGCGTTATTGAATGGTCTCGTCAACATTTAGTGCTCCTTCTCTGTGGCACCACCGGTGCATGGCGTCATTCTTTAATGAAACATGCAAAAACATTTTTGTTCTCAGGTGGCCTATATGTATACCATTGGGAGAGTTAAAGAAGTTTAGTCCTCTAAAAGAAGTCCTCCGGAAAGTTTACTGCAACAAAGGTAACTCGGGCTATATTTGGGATGCTTAAGGACTTACGCGCAACAGCATTTTCATATGCTATTTGCAATATGGAGCATGATATTCTTCGGGAAGGACGGATTTTGGGGCGTTCGGGTCAAGAGTTCGAGCTCATGGGTCCTCGAGAATATTTACCGCGGGCACGGCTACCCGAAGAACAATGAGAAGCATTGGCGATGGTGGAAATAGGCCTCGTAAGCAGTTTCCCTGCCAAATTCGAACAGGTGGGGTGCAGAAGTTGCTTTAAAAAGGTTTTAGTCACTGGCAGTCTCGGTTTTTTCATTGTCTGTGAAATGTGTATGGCTTAGGATGCTTGCTGCAACATAGTTTCTTTAATTATTTCCCATGAATGGGACGATTGAACCAAGCCTTGGATCATTACTATATGTTGTTTTACGCATTTTACGACGGGATCAATGATATATATAGATACATATATATATATATATATATATATATATATATATATATATATATATATATATATATATATAATATACATCACCAACGCCGGTTTGTTTGCGCGGGAATCACCGACGCTTTCATGAGCGTGGGGTCCGGCCGCTCACTGAACATAGCTTGTGGTAGCGGGTTTGGCTGCCACATCCGGCTCCGGGCCATAACGGTGTTGCCAAAAATCCATCGAGGGGACACTAAGCATGGTTTTGGTCCGCGCACTCCGGGTAGACCAAAATGCCTGCGAAGAGACCTCGTCTGCGGGGGCTAGACAGACGAGTGTCTCGCAATGGCGTGGAGAAGCCCATCCGCAGCAAGGAGGGGTGTCGGTCTTCCAGCGTGTCACGTTGTCAAAAACAGTTGCGGCGTTGGTGTGCATTGGGGCTGCCTCCCATCTGTTTCGCGGCCAGTATCACGGTGTGACGTCGGATAGTTTCAAATGCGATGGTCAGGTCAGCGGTTTGGTTGTCTGGTCTTTTTGTAATTTTTGTTGATGCATTCACATATAGCGTGCAATCACACTCACAATACGCACTCGATCCAAAATCATCTATCAAATATATCATAATCTTTGCATCATGGCGCACACTACCTTCATCCTGCACTACCCGCGATATGGCAGTGGTCAGAAAACTGTCCACTCTTACCAACCAGCCAGTAGACATACACTTGGGCTAGGGGGGCGTACTCGCCCGGGGGCTGGGATGACGGTCTGTGGGCCACCGCCGCCTGTCTGTCGTAGTTTCGTCATTTCTTATTGATGCATTGTTTGAGCTTAGAGGCAATAAGCTTTTTACCACAACTCGTTTCGGTTATGCCTCGCTGTCTTACGACTGTTAACCGTATGGCGTGCATGAACAGCATGGTATTGACAGGGCGTAGTAAGCCTAGGACATCAGGGCATGGACTCGCATCTGCCGCATGCGGTCAGCGATGATACTGGAACTGTTGCTCTTCTCTAAATCGATTCCCATCGCAGCTGTGCGTGCATGGCTACAGGAATGAAGACAGGCACGCCATAGTTTGCCAACGGGCGCGCGTACCATGCATGGGGGCCGTCCGAATCACGGTAGCTGCTGATCGCGTTGACGATGAATGTTGGCGACTCTGCTGTTGTTGGCCTAATTTCAGGTTAAGTTCGGCTGCGTGGCTAGAGCTTAGTACGATTTATTGTTGTCCCCCTCTCTCCGCCCCCATCGTCGCCCCATCACTTCCTTCTTCTTGACGGCAGTGCATGAGCTCTAACAAGATGGGTAATATGTACGCGGACGGGAGGCCTGTGGCCTCCGATATTCATTCACGGATTTGCTGCGAACTGGAAAGCTATCTTTCGGGACACGACTATTGCACAGCTATTTTGATTCCACCACCCGTGAGCCATCAGCGTGGTGCATGCCCACGCTTCTGAACACAAGCACAACTTTCTTTCACGTGGGGGTCACAATCCTGTTCTGGACTGAAATTTCTCATATCTCACCCGTTTTCGGCTTTCCAGATTACTCCCCGAGAGCGACACTCGTTAAGGATGCGAGTATTTGAAGTTCCGCTTTCAAGCATTGGACGGCCTGCAAATTACCGTTGGAGCCAAACTGTATACATTTTCTAGATGATCTTAAATACGGAGCGGTATTCTAAAGATGTAGTTGTGCAGTGTGTAGTTCGTAGATTACGAAACAACGGAGCGAGAATACAGTTGGCGTTCCGTTTTGGGTCAGTTACTTTGTTTTCCTTTTTCCATGTTTTAAAGTCGCTGTGCTTTATGCTCAGGATCGAAGCAAAATGTACAGGAGTAGGCTGCGATGTGATGCGTGTTGTATAAAACCAATAAACCAAAAATGGCATCTCTGTCTGCAAAGGGAAAAATCTGGACGAGGTCGACTACCTCAACAGCGCACCAATGGCAGAAGAGGACGATCCGGAGGACATGGGTGAAGACGATTGTGTGGTGGAGGTCGCAAATGTCCTACCTGGACAAAAAGCCAAGAGGGGAAGGGAGACTTGTTTCCGGAGGAGACATCTTCACATCGAGAGACTAACAATGACGCTCAGGAAAAAAAAACACCACTGGCAAAAAAGACGTATTGCCTGGTGCAATGCGGAAAAGGCAGCTGTGATGAGGCAGCTTGGCATGTTTGTTAGCCACATGGAGGTTTCTGGCCAAGCTGCATGCTTACGTGCCCTGTCAGCAGAAAATGCTCTGTCCTAGCGCTCATGGAGAGATGTTAAATCCATGTCCATAACGTGATTGTTAGAGCACGTCGTAAGGCGAAATGAGTCTCAGTGACTTACACATTAGATGCCGACTTCGTTCACGTTTGGATGATGCTCGCTAGTAAATTCCGCAACGACAAAAACGATCTCCTTGTTGTTGCTCCCGTTTATAGTAGCAATCTGTGTAGGTGGAGCTGACGAACGGTGAAAAAGCAGTGCTCACCAAGGGCAGTATGGCGAGATTTGCAATTCTGGGCGGAAGATGACACCTAAGCACGGAAATAGACCCACCCCATTGGTAAAAATGCGTTATACCTGAATGTCAGTTTGGAAGCAAATTAGGTGTGTCATTCTCCTGTCGCATCTTTCCAATACAGGATTCAATGCAAATGCTTCTTTCTCTACGTCATTTTTGAGATCCGTTGGCAAATCTGACACCACTACACTTAACCAAAGCACACTTGTTACGTTGGGAAGTGGTGGGCCACAGGGGCCTTTGACTAGTTTTTGAAGACTGGAATGGGCGCGTGGGCGTCGAGCACGAAATCTCGCATCAGCCAAACAGCCGACATGTTTGTGAGGCAGCTCGTTTGGCTTCAGTGACTGACTGCAATGACTGTAACGACTGACTCATTGATTTTAGTGTTGCACGGTCCTCCTTCCTCGGTCAGCAGCTGATTGCTACATCCCGCCGCACCATAGATTCCACTTGTATGAAGAAAGTGCATATGCGTAATTGACACGTATATAAAAAACCCAACACACGCAAGCCGTGGGAAAGGCACATTTAACAGGTAGCGTGAGCACGTGACTCACAGTTACACCAACAGCGAACCATTAACCCACACTCAGTCGCATAAGAGGCCATCATTAAGTAGACCGCTGCATTGACGCCGGCACAAGCCGTATCCCAAGAGCGGGCTACAAACTGTACCCCACCAATCGAGGCCGCCGCGCACTCGCGCCGCCAGTCACATCCACAGCATTAGAGGCTGTGTACTGTCGCCCTAAGACACCGGGGTTCGCGAGCAGGGTCGAGCAACATGGGCTTTGTATACTGACTGGAACGCCGACAGCGTAGAAGAGACTGTCGGAGTCACCTGCGAATGAGACGAACGGCGGCTGCCCACCGAAGCACCTGAAACTGCAGTAGCTCGGTCAGCAGATAAACAGTTCCAGCAGCACCTCGAGTCAATTTTTCCACCGCTGTCTGGCGCGTCGCCTCCGTTGCCCGCTCCTCAGCCCCGGCCGACCTCTGCTGCAACCGTTGCAACAGCAGAAGCTTCGGGAAAACCGCCGTCGAGTAGTGTGCCGCCGACCGGGTCATTGATGATGCTTTAGCACTATTAGCACTATTAGTGCTAAAGGGTCATGGAAACCCAAAAGGCGTTGGTTGCCCTTTCTCCTACTTTTACCAGGCCGTTGGGGACGGAAAACATTTAGTGTCCCGGGTGTCCAGCCGTCGGGGCAAACACTCATCGGGTAGTTTAATGAACTGCAGTCATTTGTTATGCGGTCCGAGGCGATTCCACAGCATGGAGCCAATGTCGTATGGAGGTCGATGGAGCCAAAATCCGTTGGTGATATCAACCCGCCTGGGGAGGGCTTTTTCATGAAGAGTGTTCAGCAGGTATTAACATGGCGTATGCTACTATTTATCCGACTTGATTTAGACTTTAACGGGACGGCCGGAAAGTGCACCATGATAAAATAGAGTAAAACGATTTTTATATTATAGATGAATGATTTAAGCAGCAGAAAGCCTACAATCCGCCGTTATTTGCCTATATCTGAACGCAAACCAACAGCCTGACGCGCAAGCAGGAGCGCAGGGAGGGAAGGCCACAGGGGGCACGTCCCCCCTGCCTAAGGTTTCAGGGGACCCGAAGGGCTTCGGGATTTACGATTAAGGGCCTGATTTGAGGGCCCAAAGGCCAGAAAGGTCGGCTGGAAGACTATTCAGAGCCCCGGCCGGCACAATGGGGCACTCCAATGCCAGCGATATTTTTGTTTGGGGGGGGGGGGGGGGGTTTCACCATTGGGGAGCCCTTTATCAACCTTGTGCGTGCCCCTGGCCCATTGCCAAGGCTCTGGCTGCGCGCTTGTGCACAAGGTAGCATATTGATATCTGGCCGTGTTTGGTTTGTCGCCGTCATCTTTCAAAGGTGGCCGCGACACTGGTTTATGAGATGGTCGTTGCCTCGCTGATTAATTAACATGTTGGTTTCAAGCGAAACATTTGTCGACAAATATCCAACACAGACTGTTCGACATCGTCTCTCACCGGTAAAGGGGCCCTCAGTTTCCCAGCAACCCCCAAGGAGTCCTTCTGAATGATGTTCGAGGCCCCCGACCTGAAAGCCTTTGTCCCTTTGTCCTTAATTTCTAGGTGCAACTCTTGGTCCTCAATACACAGCTGAATATGACAGAAAAGTCACACACGGTCCTCTGTTATCACTATGTCCTCGGTATTTTCAATTGCCAGTGTAAGCTAAAGATGGCAGCTTTACCCCTCGAGCGACCCATCCTGTTCTTAAACGGCCAAATGGCTGCATGGCCTTCCAATTTGGCTGCGATGCCGCCATTCGTTCGGGTGGTTCTCGGTAGTGACGGCTGAGTCAGGTGTCCCGTAAAGCACGGCACACAAGTATGTGTGTGTGTGTGTGTGTGTGTGTGTGTGTGTGTGTGTGTGTGTATGTGTGTGTGTGTGTGTGTGTGTGTGTGTGTGTGTGTGTGTGTATGTGTGTGTGTGTGTGTGTGTGTGTGTGTGTGTGTGTGTGTGTGTGTGTGTGTATGTGTGTGTGTGTGTGTGTGTGTGTGTGTGTGTGTGTGTGTGTGTGTGTGTGTGTGTGTGTGTGTGTGTGTGTGTGTGTGTGTGTGTCAATATCTATGCAGAGAGAGGAAGGGAGGGGAGAGAGAGAAAGAGAGGGAGAGCGTGAGGGAGGACGAGAGAAAAAGAGAGAGGATGAGAGAGAGGTAGGCTCATCCCTTTCCCTCAGGCTTGCATCTGCATTCTTCATGTGGAATGACTGCTGGCAGAAAGTCAAAAATCGGTGTGAACGTTGTCACGAAGTTCTGAGCCCTTAAGGAAAACCTGTCGGCACCCCTGTGGATAATACAGTTGTAATATAGCGCATTATCAAAACCCCAGTAATTACCTTTTAACAACTGAATTCAGCCGCTGTCTATTGTTGATAGCTTACAGCATTGTGAAGACCATTGCAACCTTCCGCCGGCCTTTACATCGTCGACCAAGTATTTAGCCTGCAAAAATGCGCAGCAACGACATGTCAGCCGGAGTAAAATGCAAAAAGACCGTCGCCAGTCGCCATCACCTCCCGTCTGATGACGACCCCTCGTCGGCCGTCATCAGACCTCCACCCAGTAGCCTTTGTCAGACGGTCGTCAGGTCGTCATGACGCCGTCATCAGACCGCCGCCGCCCGTCGTCAGTCGAGCGCCCGCTGCCGTCAGTGGTGGACCATCCTTCAAGCGGCGCTCGTTCGGCACTTCGGCCCGATTTATCGCAGTGAGCGCGACGTGTTCGCCGCATTATGTGCTAGCGCGCCGCCGTCGCCGCCACTGCCGGCGACCCGCCTCAACATGCGCGATAAATGGACGGGCACCACGGCGGCGGTGACGGCGGCGGCGGCACCGGACGCGTGCTGCCCTCCGGCGGCCGGGCGGGCGGCGGCGCCTGCACAGAGACGAACGACGCCCGTCGAGGCCGACTCCCGTGGGCGTTGCAGACGTGGCGGAGGACTGCAGTTGAGACCTGGACTGGGGGTTACGTCTTTGGTGCTTCAGACTGCGCAGACTGGTAGAAGAAGAGGACAGCGGGCTTATTCGATCATTATTGCAGGAAAAGAGCGTGTCGGTGCTACGCTCGATTTGCATCTCCACTTTCAGAAATTAAACCATTGTCCGAACGTGCATTTAAAAGGGAGCGTTCCACATTTGTATGGGGTTTAGAGCTGAAAAGCTATTTTGAAGATCATTCGGTGCAGTTCACAGCCCTGCCCTTCTTAAGACCTAAACCCTGTAGTTTCTGAGCTACACGCCCGCTAAGATGTGCACACTATTTTGTGCGGGTTACTTCAAGGTCGCTCATGCATCCATGACGCCATCATGACCCTATTCAAATCCCGCTATTCCATTTGTCATGTGGTGATCAAAGAAAAGAAAAATATGGTTGTGTAGTCGCTCTTATCTGATATTCCGATTTCCAGACATAACCGTCGCCAATGGGCTCTCAATCAACACGGCGCACGGCACGATGACGCAGTCAGACAATGACGTAGTGAGGGACATATCAACTGAAAACAAAACTTGTGTTGTCTCGAGCAAAAATATTCTGATGATTACGATTGAGCTAATTACACCATATTTGGTGTTTGCTTTAATGCCTTTAAATGTGGAACATTTCCTGTACCACATTCTCTGTTCGGAGCGAGGACGTTTTTGAAAGAATCCCAGAGGAGTCCTCCGCCATCTCCCTGCGCTTTTGTTTTCGGACCTCGTCTATCCTAGCTTTCCATCCAGCCGGAGTTTTCGTCGTTGGTTTCGCTCCTGAGAGCCGCTTTATTCCCTACTGGCCGGATGTGACATCTGTAATGGTGAGAATACCACAC